CCCCAAAACCCCAAAACCCCAAAACCCCAAAACCCCTTCATAATCGGTGTAAATTGAATATTTAGAATTATATCAATTATTTAGTCCTTACAGTCATCGATTCCAGCTTCGGTGATATTGTACATTGCTTCTCCTTCAGGAAGGCAAGGAGAATCATAGATTTTGCAGACTCTGCTCTCACCTCTTCCTTTCCTGAGTGACAATCTTGTAGTAGAGGCATGAGCCATGATATGTCCTCCAATGGGCTTTTTACTATCTGCAAACATTGAAGCTCCATCGACTTGAGCCACTACTTGATTTGTAATTACAATAGCAACTCCAAATTCATCAGCAAGCTTTTGGAGGCTCCTTAAAAATTTAGCCAAATGCATTTGCCTTGCTGAGAGCTCTCCTCTACCGCTATAATCAGTTCTGTATAGAGCAGTTGCACTATCCACGATCACAACTGAGAATCTATTCTCTCACATTAAGGCAGCAGCTTGCTTGATAAGCTTGCATTGCTGGTCTGAGTTGTGAGCTCTTGCATAAGCAACATTCTCAAGTACTTCGTTAATATCTAGACCATATCTCTCAGCTATTGGAACAAGCCTTTCAGGTCTGAAGGTTCCTTCAGTGTCTATATACATGGCCATTCCTTCTCCACCTCCTTTCTCTTCACTCAGCTGAGATGTGATTCAGAGGGTATGGCAAATCTGAGTTTTTCCTGTTCTAAATTCTCCAAATATCTCAGTAATTGATCCTGTTTCAACTCCTCCCCCGAGTAAAGCATCTAAGGTCTTCGATCCAGTGGACACTTTTGTGATGGCCTGTCTCTTTTCAAAGAAACTTGTAGCTGTTCAGAAGCCAAGATTTACTATTTTAGCAGCACATTCAAGGATTTTATCAACTTTTGCTTCTGAAAGCCCTTTGATTTGAGTAAGTTGTCTTTTCTGTGTGAATGCTATTCCTTCTACAGTAGCATATCCAGCATCTTCCAGTTTCTTGATATCTCCTGCATTAATTCCTTCATTCTCCAGTACTTTAGTCAGTGTGGGGCCTTCGGTTTTTTCATCTTGAGTCTCATTCTCTTCTTCTGCAACTTCTTGCTTCTTCCTTTTAGCTTGAGCAGACATTAGTGGTATTGGTGTTTACTTGTCGAGGGCAGGTATACATCCCAGTTGCACTTGTGTAAATTAATATTTTCAATCATGCTGATTCTACCAGGGGTTTTGGGGTTTTGGGGTTTTGGGGTTTTGGGG